GTGGAGCGCGCTCGGCGCGTGGGGGGGGGGCGAGCCAGCCCACGCAGCAGCTTTCCCCGCAGGGGGGGGCCGCCAGTGCATCGGGGGAAGCGCCTGGCGGCGGGGCCGGAAGCAGCCGCATGCGCAGCAGATCTCGAGACTCCCCCCCCCCCCGTCCGCCCCCCCCCCCCTTCCGCCCGGCCCGAGGCGGGCAGGCCACCCCACGCGAGGCCCTCGTCGCTGCCCGCCGACCCCGCGCGCGCGCGCCCCGGCGGAGCGGTCGCCGCCCCGGCCTGCAGCAGGAAGCCGAAGTCCAGGGGCAGGCCGGGCTGCAGGCTCGCCCCCGCTTGGAAGCCCACCACGCCCGAGCCCCGCGAGTCGTCGAAGCCGGCGGCGGGCGGGCCCTGGTAGGACTCGTCGCCACCCAGGAGAGGCGGAGGGGCCGCGGAGCCCGCCTCCCCCTCCAGGTCCTCGTCCTCGTCCTCCGCGCCGCCGAGGGCGGCACCCCTCATGGGCCCCCTTGCCGCGACGGGGCCGCGTCGGGCTGGCCAGCCCGCGGGTGCCGCGCGCGCCCTCTCGAGCCAAAACGGCTGATCACGGCCCGCCCTCTTCCCGCGCCTCCGCCTCCTCCTGTCGCTGCAGCCCATCTCCTGTGTTGTAAGAGTGCGTCCGACGGCAAGTTGGGATGGATCTACGGCCTCAGGCAGTACAGCCATTCCATCTTGTAACGCAAGGCCACCTGGCACCATGGTGGCTGTGTGATGAGGTCTCTACTTAGAGGGGGGGGCCGCCCCATGACCGAATACCTGTGTCAGAAATCGCCACAACCCACGTTTGGCTCACTGGCACTCGTGTGGGCCCCAGGACGGCCCAAGAACGCGACAGGCCATGTCCAGCCTAAAGACCTCCCAAGAGGCTTCAGAGTTTCCTTTACGGGGCCCACGAGGCTCCAGGAACGCCCCTAAAGACACCATAGGTGGAGTTCAGCAAGGCCCTGGGAGGCAAAATTGATGGGCAATCTACATGTATGATTAAATTACAGGTCCGTCCTCGCGCACATTTCTGCCGAAGCTGGTCTTCAAGATGGCTCTGGAATCAACCCGAGCTAGCCGAAACCAACCAGACCGAACCGAACTGACGTGAAGTGGCCAAATTTTGAATCCGAACCAAGCTGAACCGAATCATCTATAGTTTGAATCCGAACCGAACCAGCGTCGATCTGAGGCCGAACCAGACCGAACACGACCGAACCTCCTGAGCTCTCCTCTCCTCCTCTGCCTCCTCCCGCTTATTTTCCTGCTGCTGCTGCTCCTCCTCCTCCTCCTCCTCCTCCTCCTCCTCCTCCTCCTCCTTCTCTTCCTCGGGCCCTCGGAGGGCACCCTGGAGGTGGGGGTCCAGGTCCGCGGTGTTCCACGGCGGTCGGGGGATGGGGGTAACATTCAAAACTATGTGGCCTGCGCTGTTCCTCACGCGGGAACGTCTTTTTCGCGTGGCACTTCCTGACCTGACTTTGCTCGCGTGCACGGCTGTACCGCGCGCATTCCAATAGATCAACTCTATCAGCACTGACCGTGTCTGCACTCATTCCCCAAACAGTGTTTGAACTCAGGGGTTCTCGCCTATCTTCTAAGGTAACTGGGCCCCGGTGGCGGTCTGGCTGGCTCGTCGCCGCCGCCCGTTGCCGCCGTCGCCGCTGGGCGCCAGTGGCGGTCTGGCCGGCTCGTCGCCGCCCGTCGCCGCGCTGATTCACATTGCTTTGCAATGGTTTGCACTGCTATGTGCTGGTTTGCCCTGTTTTACGCTGCTTTGCACTGCTTTGCACTGCTTTGCACTGCTTTGCATTGCTGTGTTTTGCATCGCTTCGCACCGTTTTGCATTGCGTTGCATTGATTTGCTTCGCATTGGTCTGCACTGGTTTACTTTGTTTCGCATTGCCGCGGCATTGCTCTGTAGTGCGTTGCATTGTGTTGCATCGTTGTTGCGCCACATAGATTGCACCACATGGGTTGCGCAACGACTGCACCACCAAAAATTGCACCACGTTGATTGCACCACCTAGATTGCACCGCGTGCATTGCAACAAAAACACGGCTGGTAGCCCACGCCGGCTAACATGTAGTTACCAGTACGATTTGACATACATGTACTCCTCGCCCTGCCCATACAGAAGCGCCGCATGCTTATTTCTACTGGGTGTACTGCTGTTACTACTTCTGTTCCGCGTTTGTAGCGAATCTCCGGCGTCACTGTTTTCCCGTATCGGGAAAAAGGTCAGGAAGCAGGAAGGGTAGAAGGGAAGGATGGAACGGAGGGAGGACGGATGGGACAAAGGGGGGAGGGGAAGAGGGAGGGAGATAACGCAGCATGGTAGAGGGCATCCTGATGAACCGTCGAGCGACGACAGACGGGAGTGCCAACAACTGAGATGCACACCTTGGGGAGTGTCCGTGTCCAGCATTTGTTGCTCCATATTGTGCCCTAAGTGACTATCGTCTGCAATGCTTCCTCGAAAACAGAGAAAAACATAAAACCCCTTCTGGGGCATTCCCGCGGTTTGCTTATTCCGCCAGCCTGAGGGCCCTGGCTGCGTGCTGGACGTCCGCTGCCCGTCAGTTCGATTGCAAATTACACGCATTTTCGCACGGGAGACTTCCACGCGTGTCGGAACACCGTCTGGAACCTCTCCGGCGGCCCCAGTGTGCCGTTTTGGAAGCATCAGCATCTTGGGGCTCCATTGGGCTGCTTTGGCCCGTTCTGGGAGCCCTCGTGGGCCGCTTCGAAGCATGCTGAAGCCGCTTCCAATCACGTTGTATCGAGAACCCCAGGCATGTTGACAATATGGGCCGCCTGTGGTTTATATCTCCGCCTCTGGGATACGTCTCGGAACCTCTGGTGACATTGTTGAGGGTTATGTGGCCACCTTGAGATGTTTTGGAAGCCTTTTGGGCCGTCCTCACGGCATCTGGGGGCTACCTTGGATCGTCTGGCCGCCCTTTTGGAGCCCTTTTGAAACGTCTTGGACACCACCCGGCCCCCCTGGAGACCCTTCTACCGGTTCGAAACGAATGCTGTCAGGCCTTTTGCCCCTCAACCAACCGTGTGTGGGACGAAATTGGGCATTTTTTCAAAATGTTTCTGAAACCTTTTGGGACCCCCCTTGGCTTGATTTTGGATGTTCCCCGGCCCTCTGGGGCCGTTTTGGAAACCTCGTTGCGTGGACTTCTACCCCCACCATGCCTCCCAGAATCTGTTCACGATCATCGCACCTGGCTGTTTTTGCATCACAGCGACCACGTTCGATAAAAGTGGGCGGCCAATGTCAGTGTTCAACCCGTCGTGGTCGTCGTCGAAGTCTTCGTCGTCACCGCCGTCGTCCTCCATGTATTCGTGGTCGTCGTCGTCGCCGCCCTCATCATCCTCCTGCTCTACCTCCTCCATCCGCAAATCCATCTGCGCATGCTCCTATTATTGACTGTTCCTCCCAAACTGCGCCCGTGTTCCTTCCCATCTCCTTCGCGAGACCCTCACCTTTACATAGCCCTCCCCGCATCACCCTTGCATTCCAGCGACCAGTTACAAGCAGTTGCAGAATGATCCCCGCGCGCACAGGTCCTATCCGAAAAAGTAAGCAATATGATGCGATCTAACGGCTGGCCACACCGGGCGGCAGACTGCTCTCCTAAGTAGGCAAGCCGACCTGCAGGCCATTCGAGGAGTCTCTTGGGCTTCGGATCCTGCAAAAGTATGGAGGGTGTTTGGATCCCTGTGCTGATTGGGCTCTGACACTGCCCTTGCAGCGTCTCCCCCGCCTCTGAGAAGGCCCAACCGCCGCACTTAGCACAAGAGACCACCACCCCGAGTAATACATATTTTCTGGTGGTGGGAGGGGCGCGCGTCCAAAATCGTTGTTGCTCGGGCATGTAAACTTCTGCTACCCAGTTAGGCTTAGACTTGATAGAATATTGTGCGCACCTACTACAGCCAGTGTCACTACGTTAAATAATTTCAGCATGGGCGTTCATTTCGGCCTCGCGGGGCCTCCGAGTCCCAGCACTCCGAGCCCCAGCACTCTTGGGGACTTTCTGAAAGTGGAGGTTGGGGCAACACTTCCAAGTGAGGTCCAGGATGCGTGCCAGCCCATCCCGAATGAAGTTCACCTCGTCGCCCTGCCCACGCACGCATTGTACTTTGTCGACGGCGAAAACGAAATATTCGGCTGCCCCCTGCGCCGTTGCGTCCGCAGCGGCGTTGGCAATGTAGAAATCGGGCCGTACTGCGCCTGATCTGACGTCGGCGAGGGTCGCGCGCGCCTCGGTTTTCTCAGAGGCAACGCGGTGGCCCCCGGCGCAGTACACGACCAAGAAGACCTGCAAGAGGCCCGCGTTCATCTCACCGTTCCAAGAGTCACCGCGGCCCGCGCCCCTCACCAAATAATCGCTGCCGGTCGCAACTGCGATGGAGCCACCCCGGCGGGCGGCATGAACGGCGGCGGTAAGTCCCCCTCGATTGATGGTTCGCGCCCTAGGCGCGGCCCCGAAAAGCTGACCGGCGGCCCAGCGGCCCTGTCCCACAGAACCACTCACCATCCCACGCGTCGGGGCCGAGGGTCGACAAACCGTTTCCCACCCGAGCCATCTGCGCCTACAATCCTCGCCCCTTCGAAGCGCACATAGCCCCGAGGTGAAGCCGCCTGCGCCGTGGATCTGGCCGTTGATCGGGCGGGCGTTCAAATCGCCGCACGCGCGCTCCTGCCGCCCGAATCCCCGGGGCCGCTCGACGGGGCAAGATCGCCCCTCGGCCCTGGCCCCGGGAAGGAGGCGTCGCGAGCCCCTCATCTCGCACGATTCCGATCCGAGGGGGACGAGGGCGGGGCAACCCCAGGCGGCGCGAAAGGCACCCCCCCCTGGGGGCGGCGCCTCAACGCCAGCAACCAGCACTGCCAGCCATGCCAGCTCGAAACCTGCAGGCGCCGCGCCACATACATCAACGGACAACGGAGCAGGCGGCAGCGCCAAAATGCCGGGCTATTCCCCCCCACCCCGCGACGCGCGCAATACGCCGGCGCGCGTCAACTCCCCAGCCCCGCCCCTCCCCCGCAAATAGATCCAAGGGCATGCCCAGCGCGTCTGGGCGGCGCAGGTCGCGAGCTCGGAGGCGGCCGCGCCCTGGTCGCCCCCCGCGCCTCGGCGAATGTCGAACTGCCAGCGCGACGGGGAAATCCACTTCCGCAGGTCTCGGACATTCAACTTATGATCGAGCACACAGGCCTGGGCGGAAGAATGCAAACTGAAAACACCGCCCCGGCATCCGGGCCCCTGGGGGCGCCGAACGATATTGGGCCAAGCCTTTTGAATCCCACGGCGAAGATGTTCGTCTCGAGCGAGGCAAGTGCCGCGCGCGGCTCGCAGGGCTACGCACGCGCAAGCGCGATCGGATATCACGGAGGCCCACTGACCGCCAGAATCATCGGTTCAGAACCAATGCCAGCCAGCCAGATTGCGGCCCAGTCGCAAGCAACGCGAACGCACGCCAATCAAAACAATCAGAAGCCCGTCGCTACGGACTGCATTCAAAACGCGCGCGTATAGGTCGGTAAACGAAACGTTTTTGGACGCGCCACCCAGCCGACCTGATCGCGTCTTCGCAACCCCCTGGGCCGTCGGATTCCGAGCATTTCGCGGCCACGTCGGCGCGCGCTACCAGATACCCGCCGGCGGGCGCCCACCGGGCTCAACGGCCCAGGCACTTGCGCCGGGGCGCGGCCCAGGGGGCACGGCCACTGGGCAACGCACGGGGCACGGGCCACGGGCAACGGCCCATGGGCCGCAGGCCACGGGCCACGAGCAACGGGCCGCGCGCCACAAGCCACGCATCGCGCCAGGGGCCACGGGAACGAGGAGGCAGCCCGGGAGGGGGGTCGAGCGACACGAGGGGGCGGAGGGCAGGAGGGAAGGCGGGATGGGGGCGGGAAGAGGGGGGACATGAAATGTGCGCACGCGGGGCGGTGAACCGCGCGACCTCGCTCTGTGTTTTCGCGGAACTCATGATCCCAGAAAGATTGTGACATTGTTTTGGCTTGCGATTCTCGGGTGCACCGGGGGATAGTCTAACACATGGCATGCGTTCTCGCGGACCACCTAGCGCCATGCGTTCCCAGCAAACTCGCGTTCGCGCCATGTGGTTTCTGGGAATTGCACGGCCAGTGCCATGCGTTCTCTCGGAACTCATGGCCATTGCCGCGCGTTCCCGGCAAACTCGCGCCCGCGCCATGGCCAGTGTCACGCGTTCTCTCGGAACTCATGGCCGTGGCCACGCGTTCCCGGCAAACTCGCGCCCGCGCCGCCTGCCCTCTGGGAACGCCATGGCCAGCGCCGCGCGCCCCCTCGGAACTCGAGGCCAACGAACGGATTGAGCGTAACCTTTTGGCGCCGCAAGGTTCTCGAGATCGGCCCCGCCGCAAATGCGCCGCGGCGCCGCGGGCCGCGGCGTCGCGGGGGCACGCGGCCATTGAGGTCACGGGCCAGAATGCCGCGAAACCACGGGCCGCCTCGGGGCTGCGAACCGCGGGCCACAGGGCGCT